ACCCTATAAGGACTGTTGGTGACTGGGGACATTCTAGAGGAGTTGTTGGTGACTGGTGGCACCCTAGAAGGACTGTTGGTGACTGGAGGCACCCTATAAGGATTGTTGGTGACTAAGGACATGCTATAGGAGTTGTTTGTGACTGGGGACATTCTAGAGGAGTTGTTGGTGACTGGGGGCACCCTAGAAGGACTGTTGTTGGTGACTGGGGCACCCTAGAAGGACTGTTGGTGACTGGGCACCCTATAGAGGATTGTTGGTGACTGGGGGCACCCTGTAAGGATTGTTGGTGACTAAGGACATGGTATAGGAGTTGGTGGTGATTTGCTGGTGACTGGTGACATGCTATAGGAGTTGATAACTGGGAGCATGCTAAAGGTGATGGTGACTGAGGACATGCTTTAGGAAGAGTTAGAGACTGGGGACATTCTAGAGGAGTTGTTGGGTGAGTGAGGAATATGCTTCAGGAGTCCATCATAAGCTGGAGACACATTATATGACCGCACTGCTTTTTATAAGGCAAAAAGGAAAACCGCGATTACTGAATGCAGGTCCTCAAGGTCAGCACAAATGGTACCGAAGGTCTGCAAGTAGAGCAGCAGGGATTTAGAATATGTACGAAGAACAACCAACATTGTGAAATAATCGCAATTGCTGCGATTGAACCCCAACTGTAATGCAAAGTGGATATAAATTCTAAAATTTGATATTTTTGATTAATTTTAAAACATCCAATCAGTCCTGTGCAGGGTTAGATTTGCAAACCAGGGATGAGTGGCATTACGGGCGCTGGTGTCAAAGTGTTTTTATGATTGAAATGTAGAAAAATGGTATTTGGAACAAATCGAATGAGAAAAAAAATAAGTTCTTTGTCCAAATTGAAATAATATTTGGAGGTCGCATTGAAGTGCTATTACGTGTATAAAATTACAGACAGACTTGTGCTTCAGACTGTTACGAAATGCCTGTTTGACTTCCTGAATTGCACATCTTTATGGCAGGGCCTGTTCCAGGAGTGTGTAGAAAGAGAGAAGAGAATGAAGACAGAGAGGAGGGAAGGGGGAATGGAAACTAGAGAAGGAAATAGAAGAAATTAATAAAATTGAGGCTGTCCTAGTTTAAATGGAACTCTGGCCAAAACCGTGTAGACTACCCCCTTAGAAGTTGCTGAAGATTTGAGCTCTGTACAGCCAGGCAACACACATTTTCTCAGATTTGTATTCAGAGTCAGCAAACAGTCCTTGAGCTTGGTGTTATGTTTTATTAAGGGGTGTTGAACTTGGATGAGGTAAGGGGTGTATGGGAAGCCCAAGGAACAATGAATTGTGGAAAAACTCCTTAGCAACTATGTACAAGTCTTTACACAGCAGAAACTCTTCTTGGGGCGCTCTCCAGTCTCTCCTGATCCCAGATAGTCCTCTTCCTATCCAGCTGCCTGAGGGAATCCCTGGGCAAGGGGATCCCATGCCTACCACTTTAGATGAAACAGTCCCTAGGTTAGGAGCTAGTGAGGTTTCCCACCAGAATGCTCTTTTCCCCTTAACTGGTCTAGGGGATGTAGGACTACTCAGTCAATCTTTGCCTGTGAGCCTATTTAGGTAGATGGCTGCCTTCAGGCCTTCTGTTGGGCTGGTTCCTTTCCTGGCTCCACAGGTAGTCCTCCCTCTGGGGACTGGTGAGGCTGAGTGATCCTCCTTTCCAGGTCCTACCCTGTAGGTAGGCCATTTCTCACTGGGCCCCCTCCCAAGCTCCTGCATCTCGCATCTTCCATCTGAACTCTCCTTCTGCTGAGAAGGCTCAGTCACACTTAAAGGCTTCCCTGGCCCCATGCCAAGTCTCCTGCTTGGGGATTGGCCAGAGTCCTCTAAGTGTGCAGACCAGCCCCTCCTCTCCCCACCCACTGCTTCTAGAATCTTCTCCAAGATTCTAGAGTAGGGGGGAGGTATTGGGGAACTGACCAGCAGAGCCCTGACCCAAATTTGACCCTGCTGAACATTTCCCCAGGCTGCTGCACAACCTTTCTAACTAAAAATTAGCTCCCTCCACTAGTTCCTCCCAGCTATCTAGAGGGGCGCTACACCTGTATTTTTGTGTTGGTGGAATAGGAAAGAGAACCTCTGATGGGATTTTAGTGCCTTACTTTGAGAAACTCCATGTTATTGCAGTTGTTGGTGACTGGGGACGTCCTATAGGAGTTGTTGGTGACTGGGGATGGGCTATAGGCATTGTTGGTGACTGGGGACATGGTAAAGAAGTTGTTGGTGACTGGGGACATGCTGTAGGAGTTGTTGGTGACTGGGGATGGGCTATAGTGCTGGAGATGTGCATTGTTAGTGACTGAGGATGTGCACAGGCATTGTTGGTGACTGAGGATGTGCTACATTAGGCATTGTTGGTGACTGGGGATGTGCTACAGGCATTGTTGGTGACTGGGGACATGGTAAAGAAGTTGTTGGTGACTGGGGACATGCTATAGGAGTTGTTAGTTACTAGGGACATGCTAAAAGAGTTGCTGGTGACTGAATACATTCTAGAGGAGCTGTTATGGACTAGAGACATGCCTTTGGAAGATGTTGGTGACCGGGGACTTGTTCTGGAGTTGTTGGTGACTGGGGGACATAGTGGAACTGTTGGTGAGTGGAACTGTTTGTTGGTGACACTAGAGGGTACACTCCAGAGGAGTTGTTGGTGACCTGACATTCTAGAGGAATTGGACATTTCTAGACTGGGAATCTGTTGGTGAAGTTGTTGGGGACATTCTAGAAATGTTGGTAACTGGGCATATTCTAGAAGTGTAACTGGGGACATTCTAGAGAAAGTTGTCATGGACTGGAGACATGCTATAGTAAATGTGGGTGTCTGGGGACTTTCTAACAAGTGTTGGTGACTGGGGACATTCTAGCAGAGTTGTTTGTGACTGGGGACTTTCTAGCAGGTTGTGGGTGTCTGGGGACTTTCTAACAAGGTGTGACTGGGGACATTTCTAGCAGAGTTGTTGGTGACTGGGGACTTTCTAGCAGAGTTGTTTGGTGACTGGGGACTTTCTAGCGGAGTTGTTGGTGACTGGGGACTTTCTAGTGGAGTTGTTGGTGACTGGGGACATTCCAGCAGAGTTGTTGGTGACTGGGGACATTCTAGCAGAGTTGTTGGTGACTGGGGACTTTCTAGCAGAGTTGTTGGTGACTGGGGACTTTCTAGCAGAGTTGTTGGTGTCTGGGGACTTTCTAGCAGAGTTGTTGGTGTCTGGGGACTTTCTAGCAGAGTTGTTGGTGACTGGGGACATTCTAGCAGAGAGTTCTAGCAGAGTTGTTGGTGACTGGGGACTTTCTAGCAGAGTTGTTGGTGACTGGGGACTTTCTAGCAGAGTTGTTGGTGTCTGGGGACTTTCTAGCAGAGTTGTTGGTGTCTGGGGACATTCTAGCAGAGTTGTTGGTGACTGGGGACTTTCTAGCAGAGTTGTTGGTGACTGGGGACTTCTAGCAGAGTTGTTGGTGTCTGGGGACTTTCTAGCAGAGTTTGTTGGTGTCTGGGGACTTTCTAGCAGAGTTGTTGGTGACTGGGGGCTTTCTAATGGAGTTGTTGGGGACATTTTAGAAGAGTTGTCATGGACTGGAGACATGCTATAGGAAATGTGGGTGACTGGGGACATTCTAGCAGAGTTTTGTTGGTGACTGGGGGCTTTCTAGTGGAGTTGTTGGGGACTGGGGACACGCTATAGGAGATGTTGGTGACTGGAGGGCTGTTTTGCACTAGTTGGTGACTGGATACCTTCTGTAGGATTTCTTGAGAATTTCTTCATGCACACTGGTCCTCTTTATGGTCTCCTTCAATCCCCTTTGCTGCACCTTCTCCTTCCCATAGTTCAGGTCAAGATTCCTCGGTAAGGTGCTGAGCGTTGCATTAAGTCATGGAAGGTTTTCACGGGATTATGTCGGCTCTGATGACGTCGCTGTACAGAGCTGTAAACAAGATGGACGCGCCATTATTGAACGGAGCCGCCATTTCCTGGTGGGAGAAAAACTTATGAAAATTTCAGAAAATGAGGAAGGAGTATGTGGTGAGAGCGGGAAGGAGACGGGGAGGGAATGACGCCATTAATACCTCACCACCAGCTGAACTCAGCGGAACACGCACGCTTCAATAAGCAGCAATCAGCCTTGAGATGTTCCAACCTAAAGGTTAGCACCTGGGGAGCGTGTATATTGACCTGCGAGGGGATCCTACATTGGATAGACATCTCCTCACTTAACGGGAACAATTCAGAGAAAAGCTGCATTTACAAGGTGTTTATTGAGTGAAAGAGGGACCTCCGGGCGGCTGGAAAAGTTTATTTACTGCGCGTTGTGTAAATCGCTGTCAGAGTGGGAGCTTCTTAGGGTGTTCATTGAGGAGCTCCGAGAGGGTAGAGACCTGGGCACGGGGGGGGGGGGGGGGGGCTTGGAACCAAAAAAAAAAGAAATGTTACTTAGGCCTCATGCACACTAATGTGGGTTAATAAATTAATATTCTTCACATACCTTATTTTAGATCCAGTGATGTCATCTCTGTTCTCTGTTCTTCCCTAGGCAATGCAGGCAGATCATGGTTGGTGGGAGGGCTGTACACAGCTTCCTGAAAACATTACGCAGCACCCTACCACAGTAAGTCTCTCAAAAGCCCTCAGCCCTGATGCAAGATGTGGGAGGAGTTATGTAAATATCAAAATGGCTAGATGAGTGGGTGTCAGTCTGAAGGGGAGGGTGTATTTGCAGGCTGTACTTGCAAACAGACCACCCACATGGGATGCTGAGCCTCCATGATTGGAAGAGCTGAAATCTAAGGGGAGGGTCAGGGCTGGGGAGGAAAGAGCAAGATGATGCTGGGTGTCCTCCAGCCAGGAAAGGAGGCGGAGCTCTATCTGACTGGCTTCAGCTTCTAATGCACATTGTGAGAAGCTCCCAGTGTGCGGTGACATCAGAGGAAGACTTTTCAGTCCAGAAGAGGAGCTGGTACACCTGTGCAAGGCTGAAGGGGAGGAGCCGGTACACCTGTGCAAGACTGGAGGGGAGGAGCCGGTACACCTGTGCAAGGCTTAAGGGGAGGAGCCGGTACACCTGTGCAAGACTGAAGGGGAGGAGCCAGTACACCTGTGCAAGACTGAAGGGGAGGAGCCGGTACACCTGTGCAAGACTGGAGGGGAGGAGCTGGTACACCTGTGCAAGACTGAAGGGGAGGAGCCGCTACACCTGTGCAAAACTGGAGGGGAGGAGCTGGTACACCTGTGCAAGACTGAAGGGGAGGAGCCGATACACCTGTGCAAGACTGGAGGGGAGGAGCCGATACACCTGTGCAAGACTGGAGGGGAGGAGCTGGTACACCTGTGCAAGACTGAAGGGGAGGAGCCAATACACCTGTGCAAGACTGAAGGGGAGGAGCCGGTACACCTGTGCAAGCTGGAGGGAGGAACTGGTATACCTGTGCAAGACTAGAGGGGAGGAGCCGGTACACCTGTGCAAGACTGAGGGGAGGAACTGGTACACCTGTGCAAGACTGGAGGGGAGGAGCCGGTACACCTGTGCAAGACTGGAGGGGAGGAGCCGGTACACCTGTGCAAGACTGAAGGGGAGGGAGCCGATATACCTGTGCAAGATTGAAGGGGAGGCTAGAGGTCAGATTCTAGATAAGTATTGGGCCCCACTCATACTAGCATAGTGGGAACGCACATAGGGCACCGCAGCATATTCACGTAAATGGGCTATGCCACGTGTGACAAATGCGCCATTGATCCTTAATTACCATCCCATACGCACCTTTTTGTTCACTGCAAAATGTGCAAAAAGCTCATAAATTTCTACACCTGAAGACCTCGGGTATATCATGCATTTATTGCGTATTTTGCAGTGAGAAAAATGATGCATATGGGGTGTTATTAAGGGTTATTAGCACCGCAAACACGACTCGCATTTTTCACGTGTTTTTCATGTGATCCTAAACTTGCACGGAAACGCGCTTTTTTTTGCGTGCAGTCCCGCACCGTGCAGATTTGAACGCAGCCTTTATAGACTATTACCTTCAGTCGCTCCTTTAGTTTTGCTGGTTATGCGCAAATAAATGGCGGCATTGTTTCCAGTCTTTCCTGGAAGAATGCGGCGCTGCGGATGGACTGACTCTCATCACTGGTACAGGTGAGAACGCGCGGCGGCGGCGGCGGTGGCAGACCGCACGTGGTGACAGCTCAGCTTATCACTCTGTCCATCCAATCAGAATAATTACCGAAGAGGAAGGGAATCGGCTCTCCCCTCATTTATCATTTTAATTGAGATTTAATGACAGCGCCTCGATCTGGGGAGCCATCGATCACGCAGAGACGCCACCGGCTGCCTGTCATTGTTTGCAGGTAATCAGATTTCTCGGCTTTCTACAGTCACGGCGACAACTGCCGAAGCAGCGGGGGGTCCCCGGCCGGTACGCCGCCCCTCCCTCCCCCCCCCCCCCCCCCCCCCCTGCAATCACACTGCCATATACTGTATATATATTTTTCCTTTTTCTCACCAGAGTGGCGTTCGTTACTTCTGCTTTGCGGCCTACAATTCCCAACCGCGGCCTCGACTTTGATGCGGGGCGTTTTTCTGCGACGGCTCTGGAACTTTGGCGGCGGAGTGTTCTCTCCTTTCTTTTTTTTTTTTTTTTTTTTTTTTTTTTTTTTGCTTTTGATGCTTCTACCTTCTCACTGCAGGTAGTTTAAAGATGATCATACATCTGAGCCAATCCCAAGGGGCGATCGGAAGGCGCGCGTTCTCCGCCTTTGCTGGGCTTGGCTCAGCGGGGACTTTTTTTTTTTTTTGGGGGGGGGGGGCTTTCAATGTCTCTCTAGATCTGCCAGGATATTCCTGAGCTCAGAATAAAGCATCCGAAGTAGAAGAGCCAAATCACACTCAGCCAGGGGCGGACTGACAACTTATGGGCCCCCTGGGCAATACAGGACTATGGGGCCCCTGTGTCCTTGCCCAAACTCAAAAAAGCCTATGAAAAAGGTACCAGGGCATCTCATGGGGCCCCCTACTGACCCCGGGCCCTCGGGCAGTGCCCAAGACTTTCCAAATGGTCAGTCCGCCCCTGCACTCAGCTGAGCAGAGACGATTCTGCATTTGATGGGTCCAGGGGCGGACTTACAACTCATGGGGCCCCCCGGGCAATAGGGCATCATGGGGCCCCTGTGTCCTTGCTCAAACTCAAAAAAGCCTATGAAAAAGGTACCAGGGGCATCTCATGGGGCCCCCCACTGACCCCGGGGCCCTCGGGCAGTGCCCGACTTTCCAAATGGTCAGTCCGCCCCTGGATGGGTCGCTGAGTGAAGGCAGCAGAGAGAGGGTGGTGACCTGGGAAGGCAAAGCCAGCCGGTGACACGTTATTTGACCGTCGTGCCACTTCAACCTCCCCTTTGTGCATTTGCAGCATTCATTGATTAGTTGAAATGATTTCCAAAGCTTTGATGGCAGGGCTGACACCTTGAGCTGAACTCCGGGAATTAGACAAAATCTAACTTTGCAGTGGGCCCTCCTGCACTGTAAGGGTTCAAAGCTTGTTTAGGCCAGGGCAGAGCTTCTCAGACATTTTTTTTTCTTCAGTGGTGGCACCCTTGTATAAGTAGGCAAAATCTGGAGGAACCCCGGACTAAAACGTACAAACTGTAAGTGGGGAACATGAGCCTGGGACAATGCACACAACCACCTAGAATTGATGAAAATAACTTCCCATCAGAAGCCCCCCATCACATGAAATCCCTCCCTCACATCAGAGTTCCACCAATACATAAATGGTCCTTCTCACTTCAGAGCCCCCCTTCCAACACGGGGCCCCCATCATATCAGAGGTTCCCCATCACATGAAATCCCCTCCCTCACATCAAGTTCTCACTTCACCAATACATCAAATGGTCCTTCTCACATTCACCTTACAGAGTCCTTCTCATTTCAGAGCCCCCCTTCCAACACGGGGCCCCCATCATATCAGAGGTTCCCCATCACATGAAATCCCTCCCTCACATCAGAGGTCCACCTATACATCAACGGTCCTTCTCACTTCAGAGCCCCCCTTCCAACACGGGGCCCCCATCATATCAGAGGTTCACATCACAGAAATCCCTCCCTCACATCAGAGTTCCACAATCATAAATGGTCCTTCTCATTTCAGAGCCCCCCTTCCAACACGGGGGGCCCCCATATATCAGAGGTTCCCCATCACATGAAATCCCTCCCTCACATCAGAGGTCCACTATACATCAAGGTCCCTCACTTCAGAGCCCCCCTTCCAAGGTCCCCCTCATCACATCAAATCCCTCCCTCACATCAGAGGTCGACCTATACATCAACGGTCCTTCTCACTTCAGAGCCCCCCTTCCAACATGGGGCCCCCATCATATCAGAGGTCCCCCATCACATCAAATCCCTCCCTCACATCAGAGGTCCCCCATCACATCAAATCCCTCTCTCACATCAGAGGTCCACCTATACATCAACGTTCTTTCTCACTTCAGAGCCCCCCTTCCAACACGGGGCCCCCATCACATCAGAGGTTCCCCCATCATATCAAATCATTCCATCACATCAGAGGTCCACCTATACATCAATGGCCCTTCTCACTTCAGAGCCCCCCTTCCAACACAGGGCCCCCCATCTCTTCAGAGGTCCCCCATCACATCAAATCCCTCCCTCACATCAGAGGTCCACCTGTACATCAATGGTCCTTCTCACTTCAGAGCTCCCCTTCCAACACGGGGCCCCCATCACATCAGAGGTCCCCCATCACATCAAAGTTACCCCCTTCACATCAGAGGTCCACCTATTCATCAACGGTCCTTCTCATTTCAGAGCCCCCCTTCCAACACGGGGCCCCCATCACATCAGAGGTCCCCCATCATATCAAAGTTTCTCCCTTCACATCAGAGTCCTCCTTTTGTATCAGAGTCCATCCATCACATCAGAAGCCCACCTTCACTTCAGGGGTTCTTCCCATGACATCAGAAGTCCCCTTCATATCAGAGGTCCCCCATCACATCAAATCCCTTCCTCACATCAGAGTTCCCCATCATGTCAGTGGCCCCCCCATCACATCAGACAGGTCCCCCTATGCATCAATGGCCTTCCTCACTTCAGAGCCCCCCCCCTTACATCAGGCCCCCTTCACATTAAAGCCCTTCTTCACATCAGTGGTCCCCCCCATCACAAGCCCTACTTCACTTCAGGAGTTCTTCCCATGGCATCAGCACTCCCTTCATATCAGAGGGCCCTCCATCACATCAAAGCCCCCTTTCACATCAGAGGTCCCCTATTATGTCCGAGGCCCCCCATCACATCAAAGTCGCCCTCTTCACATTAGTGGTCTCCCCATCACATACGAGTCACTCTCTTCACATCAGAGTCCCCACATCACATTCAAGCCCCCCCACTTCACTTCAGGATTTCTTCCCATGGCATCAGCACCCCCTTCATATCAGAGGGCCCTCCATCACATCAAAGCCACCCTTCACATCAGAGGTCCCCTATCATGTCTGAGGCCCCCATCATATCAGTGCCCCCCCCATCACATCAAGTCACCCCCTTCACATCAGAGGCCCTCTTCACAGCAGTGGTCTCCCCATCACATCAGAAGCCCACTCCCCTTCACTTCAGGGGTTCTTCTCATGACATTACCCCTTTCATATCAGAGGGCCCCCCATCACATCAAAGCCCCCCCTTCACATCAGAGGTCCCCTATCATGTCTGAGGCCCCCATCACATCAAAGTCACCCCCTTCACATCAGAGGCCCTCTTCACATCTGTCTCCCCATCACATCAGAAGCCCCACTCCCCCTTCACTTCAGGGATTCTTCTCATGACATCATTCCCCCCCCTTCATATCAGAGGGGCCCCCCATCACATCAGAGCCCCCCTTCATCACATCAGAGGTCCCCTATCATGTCTGAGCCCCCATCAAAGTCAGTGCCCCCCCCTCACATCAAAGTCACCACCTTCACAATCAGCGGCCTCTTCACATCACGTGTTCTCCCATCACATCAGAAGCCCACTCCCCTTCACTTCAGGATTCTTCTCATGACATCACCCCCTTTCATTCAGGAGGGCCCCCCATCACATCAAAGCCCCCCTTCACATCAGAGGTCCCCTATCTTGTCTGAGGCCCCCATCACATCAGTGCCCCCCCCCATCACATCAAAGTCACCCCCCTTCACATCAGAGGCCCTCTTCACATCAGTGGTCTCCCCCATCACATCAGAAGCCCACTCCCTTCACTTCATGGGACTTTCTTCTCATGACATCACCAAAACCCCCTTTCATATCAAGAGGGCCCTCCTTCACATCAAAGCCCCCCCTTCACATCAGAGTCCCCTATCATGTCTGAGGCCCCCATCACATCAGTGCCCCCCCCCCAATCACATCAAAGTCACCCCCTTTTCACATCAGAGGCCCTCTTCACATCAGTGGTCTCCCAATCACATCCAGAGCCCACTCTACCCTTCACTTCAGGGGATTTCTTCTCATGACATCTCCCCTTCCATATCTAGAGGAGCCCCCCGCCAGCACATCATAGCCTCCCTTCACATCAGAGGTCCCACATCCATGTCCAATTAGCGCCCCCCAAACAACATCAGAGGGTCCTCCAT